CCCGCACGCAGCAGCGCCTGGGACGAGCAGAGGTTAACGCGCCAAGTGGCCAAAACGATCCAAATTACGCTCCGTGCCCACCCGCTAGAGCCGCTCACCTGCTGCCGAAGGGGGCTGTCGCTTCGGCTCAGCAGAAAAGGCAAAAGATTATTAAAGAAAAACAAACAGGAGAACTCAGATAAGCACCTAAGGAGCCTTTCCACTTAATTCAGATCAGAGAAGCTGAAGGACACAGTTCTTAAATAAATGGACAGCTCACTGGGCAAGGACTCAAAGAGTTTGTCATGCCCCTGCTCTTGTCTTCGAGCAAATCCCTGCACCCGCTTCTCAGTTCTTCAGAAAGAAAAGGCAGTGCCAAAGTGTCTACAGATTTGCTACTGCATGACACACTGCCGTTATTTCTAAATCTTTCTCCGTGTTTCCCCTGTGTCAAACATCTGTCTTATGAGAGGTCAGCACCATGAAATTCAGACCTTTATACCCTAAGTGCCTAACTTTATGCTGATTTTAGCAAATTAAAGACCCAACACAGTCTCTCTGATATAAAAATTTCAGAAGCACATTGTAAGCATGATGCAAAAACACATAGCTCAATCAAAGATGGTATGTTTTCCACATTCTCCTTCCCACAACTAGTCATCAACCTGTTACGGAAATGCTACATTAATTCTTAATTAACTTGCTGTACGCAGTGATGGCACATTTGCATGACTAACTTCATGCTGATAAAAATGGAAATAGGAAAGAATGTTTTTAAAAGCATACTCTTTTAAATTTATATCTTAAGAATCAGCACTGAAAAAGTAAAAAAAAAAGACTTGCTTCGCAAACCTAAATACCATTGTAAAATATTTTCAGTGGGAATACAGGATTTTCTTGCTCAATGTTGTGATGTTCTGACTGACCTGGTGAGTTCTGCCACTCAAGCCTGCAAAAGGGTTTCTTAGGACGACTCAGTAGGTCTTTTTGCCAGGCCTAACGGCTAAGACCCTTAGACGGAGCCTTTGGCACAGGTCCAGTGACCCTGACTGCATTTCTTGTCATGGTTGGGAAGCGGACTTGAACACAGAACCCATCCAAATGCTACGAACCATCCAAACACATAAACGTAGATCATTCTAATTCACAAAGGTATAACCACGAGGCCTAACCTAAAAGGAATTTTCCTTCCTGAGTTTAATTCTACTGGTTAAAATGTATCTATTTTACTAACACATCTGCAATATTTGCGTATGTTATTTGCAAGAAAACTAGAGAAAGACGCACGTACTTCGTTACTACATGAATCATCTAACTGAAAAAAATACAGCTAACGCTTTCATGTTAAATTATCAGGTTTCTTTTCAATCATAATTGTCAGGCTGGTTATTGCTCCATCTTTCATTTTTCAGAACGTAAGCTCACCAACATCCTCCTGAATGTTCTTTGCACCATTCTGTGTAACATTTTATCCGGGTATAGAAAAGCCTGTAACGTCACACCAATCCAAAGCTCTATTTAGAACTGCAGTGTAGTGATTACTAAGAAAAATCTGCAAAACTGACACTTTTACTGTGCTATGTCTGTGTTGATTCACCACTGGAAAAGCAGCCATCTTTTTAACTGTCACTACAGCATTTCAGAAATATTTTCATGCTGATTTTTTTTGTAATTGTATGCATTTTCTCTAAAAGCTTCCGTCTAGTAAAATCTGAACCACTGTGCTAGGCCACAGCTTTGAAATATCTGTCTACATTCGGGGAGTGTATATATCATAAGGTCTAGAAATCATTTTTATAACTGCTGAATACTCTGTAGGTAATAAGAACCAGGGTTTGTCATATTTATCTTATTCTTCCAAATACAATAGCGGCTATCATGATTTCAAGCTTGGTACTTGTTTATCATTAGTGTTTCCACTGTAACCATGGCATCAGTGTATAGCACAGGCTTAACATGAGAAAAATAGCCAGTATTTTCCTAAAAAATTCTTCTCCTAGAAAAAATACAAGGATTAGCAGAATAATATTAATAATAAATCAAAGTAGGCGAGCTAGCTAAAGAGATAAATAGTTTATTTTAGGGTAAAAAAACCCACATTATTTCTTTGTTAGTACTTTTTACATTTTGGACTCTGATAACTATCTAGAAATATATTACAGGATAAGTAATATAACCTTGAGCTTAGGGCAGATATTGTAAAGTAAATATTGAAAAATTCATCACCAAAATACTTACGGTATTATATGAGAATGAAAGCGTAAAAGCTATTAATATATTGACCAGAGCTGTTCTCAACATATGAGCATTTTGTCAAGTCTAATTAATTAATGACAGTTCAATTCTGGAAGAAGTGTTGCATTCTAAAGGTAAAGAGGGGCAACAATTCAGTTGCACCGAATACTCCCAACACGTATGAAAAAAAAAAATTGAAAAATTCAGGACTCCTTAAAGGGAAAACTTGAGAACAGCAAAAAAATATGTTATGGTCTCCAAAAGGGTTTCTTAGGTTGCATTTGTTTGATATGTGAGGCAGCGAGGAAGAATGGGCTCCTGCGATTGCTCCTTTTAATTTGCTTGTTATAAAGCTGGGAAAGAGCACTAAAAAACCACCTGCCTTAAATGCCAAGAAGGAATGAAGGAATTATTAGTTCTCTTATTAAACAGAAGAAACTGCCTGCGAGGTGCCAGCAGATCTTAGTCTAATGTTGGTTTAGGCCACGTGCATTTCACTTGAAGGCGAAACCCTTGGACTACTGGACTTCATAAATGCTTTCTCTTTTCTCGGTTTTAATATAGATTCCAGACACTGATGAAGCAATCAATAAATGTATTTCTCTCACTGTAGACTCTATAGAGATGTCATGGCCACTGCATTTATTTTAATTCAGTGAGATCAGATGAAGAAACTGTGTGATACTGTAAGAACTGGTGGTCTGAAGGTTTCTATTAGCAATCCAATAAAGATATTCAGCACTACAATTACTGTAACACATTCAGTAAACTGGAATATTTTGGAAAGGATAAAGGAGAATCCCATAAATATGTGGTCCCGCAAATTCAAACTGCAATATAGGGAGGGTGGAGTACCCACTATTTCATACACACTAACGCAAGCCAAAATACAAGGACTTAGAACATGAAAATGAGATAAATGATGCCTCAGAAGCCATATTATATTGGGTGGACCAATTTTAATGATCTAGTGCCATAGTCTCAACTCTCTCGCATCAACAGATAACAACTCTAGTCATGCCCTCATAGTGTCCTCCCACCCCCCACTCGCTGGACTGCCATGGATCCTGGTGCAATAAAACACAGCCTCTATTTAATTCAGTTATTTAGATCCCTCTGGGTCATGTTTACATTGGGCCTCGACATGTTAAACTCCACTATGTATGTAAGAAGAACGCCTGAATCTTTGATTTCACCTTAGTAATCAGAGCCAGAATGTTCCCTAGCACAACTGCTCACCAAAATTCAAACTCGGCATCTGTCACCTGCACGGTCCTTCCAGATTTGGCCACAAACTCGGAACGTGTAGTATAGACAAAAAAGGCACACAAATCTATTATCCCTTCACTAAGCATCTGTGAAGACATCCTAGACCCACTGATTCCAGAAAGCCCCAGACTTGATTATGATTCAATCCAGGTAAAAGACATCTGCAGTACTGCTGCATTTGTATTTTCCCGATTTTGCTATTTTTTTCTCTGCCTATCACCCCATTTTATTATGCAAACTTGCTAATGTGTAGCTTTTATGGAGTATCAGAATAATCTAGATCCTAATTATCATAATGTAACACATGTAGGAGAAATTACATATTTTTTAAAGTTGTCACGATAGAAGTTCTAACAGTAAAAGTTATTCAGCTCTTAATCAGCATAAATGGAGAATAATTCTTTCTTGCCTTTCCATCAGTTTGACAACTCTTTATACCTCTGCATTAAATAAAGGAGCCCCAAAGAATGCAAGAAACTCAGATCTGTTAACTCTTGCTGTTTTTATTTTGGTCTTGGATTCTTTGTCTATTTGCCAGAGAAATACTGCCCTGACTAGGATCCTTGACCTTAATAAATAAACGCATAAAAAGATGAGTGTGCACATTTCAGATGGCTGGTCAAGCAGGGCACACTTAAAATCAGAAGACAGGTCCTATTGTTTTATCTTATTTAAAGAATATATCATTATAACTAACTGCAGAACGGTGAAGCGTCCATGTTTCCTGTGTTCTTTTTTTTTTTTTTTTTTTGATGTTATATCACAGTACCTGAGGATGTCAGATCAGGGATTTTCCAGCCTTTTTGTACTCCCACTGAGACATGCTAGCATCTGCATCTTTACGATGCAGTAGAAGAAGCAGTGAAACATGCTGTATATACAAGCAATAGAATTTGTCTAGTTGGGGCCAAAACACACCAGGATCCTTGAATTAATTTCAAGTGTCAGTTGACACATTGCGCTAGGTCCACGTATTAAGGTCTAGATTATCTGGTGGGAAGGAGGAGCATCCCTACTGATGCAGTGAGCTTCCAGGTGCTAGGAAGACTCCAAAGTGTCTCATACCAGAGGTCAGATCTGTATTTTTAGGGCTTGTCATGCCAGGCTACAACATGAGCAAGAGTGTTCATGTTGAAATGAAGAACTCGCAGTCTAGGTGCTGGATCTGGGTTTTGCAGCAATGCTCTGTATTTGGAGGCATTTGAATGGAGCTCTTCAGGAACAGTAAGATAACTAGACTTGTATTTAGGAAACGTGATTTCAGAAGCTGAAGCAGTAATCGTACATTTATTACCTAGGCTCAGTGTATTCCTCTCTCTTCCCTCGTCTGTAAACCAGATGCATTAGATATGCAGTAACCATGACTATCTCAGTGTAACAAAGCATGAAAATAACGGAAAGCCTTCAGAGCCATTACATGCCCTTGGCAACCCATCTCTGCAATACAGATGTTGCATCCAAAATAATGCCACAGAAAAACATCTGTACATCTAGGTACAGGCACCGCAAGCACTTACCCAGTCCTCGAAGTGGCGGCTCCCATTCTGCAGCAAGTCCTCAAACTGTATAGTGCAGTTAGCTACAAAATCATCATACCCGATGGGGGCATCGTGGAAAACAGCCATCTCTATCTTCCTGCCGTTGCAAACGTCGGTGACAAATTCATCATTCCAGGCGGGACTGTTGGTCTTTTGCTTGGTTGAGGTCTGCCCGATGCGCGAGTCGTCCACGTTGAGGGCTATGTAAGGGTCCAGCAAAAAGGTCTGTGGCTTGGGACCCACCGCATGTCTCAGCGACCACGCCGTGGGCTTCAGATTCACCGCCTCGCAGATCTTGATCTTCAGCAAGCCATTGAAAACCACCATGGCTGGAGGGCTGCACTTTTCCCGGGATTAAACACCCGCACCACGGACAGGGAGGGAGGCAGATCTCACCAATAAATAGGAGGGCAGGTCTGGGCGCGGGGGAGCAGGATACGGTGCGGTTCTCTCTTCGCCTTGCTGCCGCCGTTACCTTTGCTTATTTAGCCTTTGCTCTTGCGACACCCAGTGAATACATTTATTTTCTCGCCCGTATTCCTAACGGAAAACAAGGGAGGGGGGCCGCAGGGCAGGGGGAGGCGCCCGCGCTCGCAGAAACCCCCCGGCCGCGATCAAAACGCGCGCATAACGACCCGGCGGGGCGAGCGGGAGCCTCCTGCCTTCCCCTCCACCATAATCCGGGATGAGCCGCGGGGAGGGAGCGCGGCGCCCGCACGCACCCGCGCACACAACCGCGCGCACCGGCCGCCCCGGCAGCGCTGCCTCCTGCCCCGCGCGCACC